GGGGGGGGGGAACACGACTAGGCAGCCAGATCAGAGCGAAGAGGTCAGAGGCAGGTAAGCACTGGGACCTCTTCAGCTAAAGCAGGGAATAGAAAAGTCTAGAGCAAGATGGGATGCCATTGGCCAGTTCCAATCAGGGGTGCAAATGTCCTGATTTAGGTTTGAAAAGACCTCTCCAGCTGAGAAAGAACAGTTCTTAGGGGCGAGAATAGAAGTGAAACTGTCTGGAGGCCCTGGCAGTAGCTTGGGGAGGAGGTGGTGGCAGCTTCCCCAAAGGGCAACGGGGATGCGGGATGTGTCTGCTCAGAATGTACTTTAGAAGTAAAGCCAACCAGCTTTGTTCCTGGATTTGGTGCAGACAATGATAATCCAGGTGACTCACATTTTAAACTTGATGGATGGGAGAATGGGTCAGGAAAAGCCCCCAAGAAGGAGCCATTCCTGAGCTGAGCTTTGAGGTTGAGCAGGAGTTGGCAGGAAGAAAGGGTTCTTATTGCCCTCCTCTGGAGGTGGCCCGGGCACAGGGAGCACTGTGCCAGGCAAGTCGGACACAGGCAGGAAAGCAGCTGATGGAGGGAGAAGATATCACAACTTGTTTTCCTGTCCCCTCCAGGATGAAATGGCCTTCTGCTACACCCAGGCTCCCCACAAGACAATTTCCTTGGTCCTCGACACCCCTCGGGTCGCCAAGCTTGAAGATTACCCCATGAAATACTCACTGGTGTGGGGCTCGGTTTGGCTGATCTGAACTCGATCCAACCTCTCAGGCCTGGTGCCGGCCCAGGAAGGATGGGGTGTCAAGGGAGAGGGCCCAGGTGGCCTCTGAGGGCAGAGGGTGTGGGAGTCTACCTGAGAATCTAGGTTAGGGGTAAGACGGGGTCTTAAAGCCCATCTCCCCTAACACCCCTACCCTGGCTGGGTCTCCTTCTAGAGCCCAGGGATTGGCTACATGACCCACTGCACCGATGACGATAGGGTGGCCAGCATGGATTCCATTGGGAACCTGATGGTGTCCCCACCTGTCAAGGTCAAAGGGAAGGAGTATCCTCTAGGCAGGATCCTCATTGGCAGCAGCTTTTACCCCAGGTGAGGCCAAGAGGTCAGATGTCTTAAAACTAAAGGGGCCTGTAGTCACCTGGCTCTGACTCCCATGTGACTCAGCAGGTCCTCTACCCTGGACCATTCCTTAAATGCTCACGTAAGGATGTTTGTCTGCGAATCACATAGGAGACTAAAAAGAGAAAAAGCAGACGAACTATTCATCCTCTGAGTGGTGGTTCCAGGGTTTAAGTTGAAGCTTGCTAAACTCTGCTGGCCTACTGACCCAACAGGATGCCACTTCCACAGGATGTGGACTTCTAGGGGGCCACCCTCAAGGCTAGGCTTCTTGGTGGCCATTCAGCTAAAGCCAGGAAGTACAGTGTCCCAGGGCCCAGTCTTTTTTCTAGAATCTCTCGGCTCGGTCCTGAGTTGGGCCAAAGTAAGGGGTTCTTAATAACCGCCTTCCCCTATGGACCAGTTGCTTGAGCCCAATGGTTAAAGCAGCCAGGCTGCCTGAAGGTAGCCACTCAGCAAGTCGTCGGCGGCCAGCCCTGGCCATGCTGGCTCTCAAGGGCTGTTCTTCCCTCTTCCCTTTAGCAAGGACGGCCGGGACATGAGTAAGGCCCTCCGGGAGTTCCTCTATGCCCAGCAAGTCCAGGCCCCGGTGGAACTCTTCTCAGACTGGCTGATGGTCGGCCACGTGGATGAGTTCATGTGCTTCATCCCCAAACAGGTCAAGAGTGAAGACGAAAAGGTCTGTGTTGGGGACTGCGGAGGGCGGGGCGTCTCCCACCCTCCTTCGGAGACCCTCGGCAGCTTCTGGAGGGGAAGCCAGCGTCTGACCCTAGTTCTGTCTTCCAGGACTTCTGCCTGCTCCTGGCCAGCCCCAGCTCCTGCTACAAACTCTTCCAGGAGAAACAGAAGGAGGGCTATGGAGACATGCCTCTGTTCGAAGAAGTGAGGGAGGATCAGCTCCTCTCTAACGGTAGGGGACAAACAGCAACAGAATGGAGGCCCGCCCCTATTCCCCGGGTGTCCTTCCCAGTCATTTGATGACCTTCTTTCCAGGTAGAAAGGTTCCCAGGGCAGCAGAAAAGCATAGCGTGCACTGTGTTAGAACACCTTACCCAGCTCTGTGCTATGTTGCCTGCCTGCCTTTCTTCTTCCTCCAGGGAGGGAGGCCAAAACTATCAACCAACTTCTGGCTGATGAAAATATGAAAAAGCAGAACGACTATGTGGAGGTAGGGGCCAAGGATGTGAGGGACCTTCTCCAGAAAGTGGGGGGATGCACTGACGATCGAGACAGGCTCTTAATTGAACTACAATAGCCCAAGCATCTTGCAAGATACGTTACTGTAATCCTCGAAGTAACCGTGGGAAGTTAAACCCATCTTGTGTATGACAGGCTCAGACCAAGTCGATGAGTTGGGGAAGTGGGTTTGAACCCATGGGACTGCCAAGTTCATGCTTCATGCACTGTTACTCATGGCATCTTACCAAAAAACAGTGCTGTAGCTCAGCAGCCTGCAGCAGAGGCCCCCACCCATGACTTCTCTAAGAAGCTGAGTCCAGAGGCTTAGGAACGGACCAGGGCCTTCTCAATGCTCAGGCCCATCAGCTCGGTGTTCAGAATCACCCAGCACCTTGGATCTCTGAAAGTGTGGATCACAGACTGTGAGAAGCACAGGAGTTCCCAGAAGAGATCACTTAACTTCTAGAAGGGAAGCCAAGGCTGGAGAAGGGCAGTTGCCCGGGGTCACATGCTCAACACAAAAATGCTTTGCCCACTGGGTCTTTATGGCTCCTGGCCAAGGTGTGTTCAGTGCCATAGTGCACTGGTGCTCTAACCTTTGCCAAAACAGGGAAGGCTTCCTGGCACAGCAGGGTGGGTGCCAGCCAGGCATGGTGTTGGAGCAGCCCTTGACAGTATCCTGGGTATAGTGGTCATGAGCCCTGTGTCAGACCACGGAAATGCTCAGGTGTTGGGCATCGCCTGGTCTGAGCAGAGAAGTGCCCTGGATGGGGACCCCTAGTCTTGTCCCTTCCTGAGGGAAGCAGAGTGCCACAGTCTGAGGACTTACGCCCTTTCCTGGACCGCTAACCCTCTGCCCTTGCCCAGGTTCCCCACCGTGGCCAGGCTTGAGCGCCAAAGGGAACCCATGCTATAGAAATAGGACTAGTAGCTGCCCCAGTGCTCACTGGCTATGGGATCCTGGCCTCTCGGTACCAGGCCTTTCCTCCGAGTTCCCATTTCCTCTCAGAAAAAGGGAACTGTGCCCTCTCATCAGAGGCTGGCATGCCACATAAGGGTCCCCCACACGAGGAAAGGTGGGAGGTGCTTCAGGCCACTAGCTTCCATTCCCA